CGTCTGTCACGGAGCGGAGGGGGCGGGGGCGCGGAACGACTTAGCACCGAGCACCTGTTGCACAGTTTCCGTTTGAATCAGCCTTTGCTTATAAAAATCTAACCGGTTCTGAGCAGTCTGCGTGCAGGGTGCTTGACGGGGGACCTTGTTCTGTCGCCAGCTACACGGCTACTTGGAGAACGAGCCGCTCACGCTACAGCTGTTCATCGGGACCGCTGACGACCGCCTGCTGAGACCCCACGCCTTCTACCAGGTGCATCGGATCACGGGCAAGACCGTGTCCACCACCAGTCACGAGGCCATCCTGTCCAACACCAAAGTCCTGGAGATCCCGCTGCTGCCGGAGAACAACATGAGAGCCATGTGAGCTGCGCCCGCGGGGCTGGGGTGCTGGGGGCTGGCTCGGGGGTGTGGCCTGCGTGCCCTTCCCTCCTCTGCATCTCTGCCCTCGGCTTAACACCTGGGCAAACCCCAAACATTTGTGGCGGTGGATTTGCTCCAGGGCGCCGGGTGCTGTGGGCCTTGCGCTTGGACGGTTCGGTCCCCCCGTCAGCGTGCCCTCGTGCCTGATTCTCCTCCTGAGCGCAACGCCCGTTCATTCCTGAACACGGCCACCACCAAGGTGCACGGGCCAAGGGGCAAAGTCAGGCCTGCTCGCTAGTTCCGAGGGACTGACCCGTAAACTGAGGACTGACCTCCTGCGGGAGTAGGGCCTCCGTTCACAGCCTCCCGTCCTCCTCCTGCCCGCACGTGGCTCCTAGGGTCTCACGCAGACGGTGGGCCTCTCGAGGGCAGGGTGGGGCGCCCTGGGCCTTGCCCCAGGGACTGAAAGACGGTCTGACCCTTGTTTCCGGCAGCGTGGACTGCGCCGGGATCCTGAAGCTCAGAAACTCGGACATCGAGCTGCGCAAAGGGGAGACAGACATCGGGAGAAAGAACACCAGGGTGAGGCTGGTCTTCCGGGTCCACATCCCGCAGCCCAACGGCCGGACGCTGTCCCTGCAAGTGGCCTCGAACCCCATCGAGTGCTGTGAGTAGCGGAGCTGGCCCCGTGCCACATGCCCTCCCGTCTGGGACCTCGCACAGACTTTTCCCATCAAGTGTGTCCATACCGATGTGCAGCCGCTCTGCTCCCCGCCTCTCGTGGGTCGTCCCCCGAGGCCCTGACCTCGCTGGCATTCAGGTTCACGGGCTCCGCCCACCCTGCTCCTCGCACCCGCGGGGATCACAGAGAGGAGAGTTTGTCCTGAACCCCTGAGATGGGTGCTCTCGCCCCATTCGAGCAAATCCCTAGGTTTTCAGAAACCTGAGCGGTGGGGTTGGGCGTCTGGTCCACTGGGCTGAGCAAACCTGTTTCTCAGCCCTTGTATGACAAGCCCATCTTCCCCGGCAGCTCCTGGCTTTCCCTCATCTTGTCTTCCAGCCTTGGGCCTGAGTCCTCTGCTCCTGCGGGGGCTCGGCCGCGGCAAGGGGTCAGGGTCCTCCGGCAGATGAGGTCGTTGGTGGATGCCCCACGAACGCCTGTCCTCAGCACGGCTTCTTTCCTGGGCCTGGGGGTGGGTCACCAGGAAGCATTCTGTAGGCCTGCCACACCCACTGGCCGCTGCCGGAACATCACCTTTCCAGGGCCCCTCTTCTCTCACCCGGTCGTGGCTGTCTCAGGACACTTACCCGTGTCCCTGGCTCACCTGCCCGCCCGTCTCAGTGGGGGTGTCTGGGTTTGGTTCCCTCACCTCAGCCCCCGGGGACCCCGTCCCCCTGATGGCTGTCTCATGACCCCTGTGTGGAGCCCCACGGACACCTGTCCCCATGCCTTGGCGTGGCCTGTGGGTTAGCTGCAGGCGGCTCCACGTGTCTGAAGTATGGCCTCCTCCCTCGGGCCCACTGGTTGGGTGAGAATGCATAGTGGCCAGGGAAGTGGCCACTATTTCTGCCCGGAACAGCCTTGGTGCCCCCGCCCCCCGCCCCGCCCCATGTCCTGTGCTTTCCAGACGGCCTGACTCCTCACGCTCAACGCCTTGCTGCCTGGCCTTGTCCCAGCAGACCCCTGCCTCTCTTGTCCGCCACTCCTGGCTGTGACAGGGCCTCCACCACGAGACCCCACCCCTCAGTTCACGCTGGGCCCGCGCCCCCACGGCGCCCAGGGTGGGGTCTCGTGGTGGCACCCAGCTTCCAAAGCCCACACCCCGTTCCCACCATGACAGGGTGTCCCGAGGGGGGGTTCCTTACCCGGGGCAGTGTGTCCTATCCAAGCAGAGGCCGGGGTCACCCTGGGGGGCCGGCACGTTCACCGCACAGAGGCGCGCACTCAGACTGCACATGTGTGCACGCACCACTGAAGCCACGATCTTCGCGCACACACGAGCTGATGAGCCTTCGCCCCTGTGTGTGCGTCATCACGCGGACCTGCCCTGGAGCAGCAGCCGTGAGGGCGACCAGCTGTCGCGTGCGGTCGCCCTGTGCTCCGAGTGCGTGACGCCCCCCCACCAAACCCCGAGGAGCCCGCGGAAAGGGCCCGTTCCTGACCAGCCGGCTGACCCTGGGGCGCCCTCCCGGGGCTGTGGCACGAGGTGGGGCCGGGGCTCCAGCTCATTCCCCCTGTTGTGACCCCGCGCAGCCCAGCGGTCGGCCCAGGAGCTGCCCCTTGTGGAGAAGCAGAGCGCGGCCAGCTGCCCCGTCCTCGGCGGGAAGAAGATGGTCCTGTCCGGCCATAACTTTCTGCAAGACTCCAAGGTCATTTTCGTGGAGAAAGCACCAGGTATCTCTATAACAGACTGTCCGCGTGTTTCCCGCTTTTGCCGCCGGGGTGGGGGGTGGCTCCCAGGGGCGGAGCGGGGCCGCTCTGGGGTCTCCACGCCGCACAGCAGGAGCAGATCACCGAGCTCTGGGTCAAGGCCTGTCCTTAATGTGGCCCACATCAGCGGGTGTGGGGCCGCCCCCTGCTCCCTGGCCGTGGCGGGCCCTTGGCCTGGCCCGGTCACACGTCTGCTTCCTGGCTTTGGGTGGCTGCTGCTCAGGCCGTCTTGGGAGGCGCTGTTCTGCCCCGTGTAGATGATGGCTTCTCGTGTCAGAATCACCGCCTTGGGAGGTGAACATCCTGATGCTCAGTGGCCGCAGCGGCCGTGGGACCCGCACTTGGCTCGGCGGCCTCCCCACACCCCCGTGGCGTCCTTCAGGCCCCAGAGATGCAGAGGCAGGTGCTGCTCTGGGCTCCCAGCCGTGGTGTGGTGTGTGTGTGTGTGTGTGTGTTGACTGCTGGGTGGCAGGTGTAGTCTTCCGTGTGCAGAGCGGAGCCCAGGTGTGCGGCAGGGTGGATGCAGGTGTGTGCACGCCCGCCCCGCCCCAGGAGAGGCCTCTGGGCGCTCATGAGAGTAAAGCAAGGCGGGGGGGGGGGGGGGGGCAGGTGACAGTGCGTGTGGCCGGTCCCTCTGGAAGCTCTGGGCAGCTGTGGTTTGGAGGCCGGTCCCCACTGAGCTGGCCAGGCAAGTGCCCCCCACGGTGCTGCCACCGCTGGGCTGCAGGGGGTCGCGCCCCCGCTCAGAGTTTTCCGGAGAGCACGGCTGCAGGACCCACGCTGATGCCAGAAGCCACAGCGGTGCCCCGTGTCCACAATGGGGTCTTGATTTTGCGCAGGAGGCTTAAGTGCCTCCGTCAAAACGGGCCGGCAGGTCCTGTGTGCTCAGCTTGTGCCCGTGTAATCACGCACGTGATTGGAAAATGTTGTGAATTATGGAGAAAATCGGACCAAATGTGGCGATGATGAGGAGAATTTGCATTGCTGGACACTGTTTTTCGGAGGAGGCTAATTTTGAAACGATTTAACCTTTTGAGCTTAAACACACGAACGAGGACGTGGGGGGGAGGGTCGCCAGGCGCTGTGCTGCGACTTGGCCTGAGTCACTCCTTTTCTGGCTGCTGCACGAGTCCACGCGGCTTTCTTCCTCCTTCCTGAACAGTCGTCACCTTGGCGCCACGGCAGGACCTTCGGGCGCCTCCTGGGTGCTCCCCGCCTGGTGGGCACCGTGTGGCTTCTTTGGCGGGGCGGGATTCACCGCCCGGCCGTCCTGATCGGCCCCCGCGTGCGTGTCCACTCCAGGGCCTCGCGTGCCACGTGGAGGCTGGCTGCGTGGGGCCCTCCCCCTCCCCCTCCCCCTCCCGTGGCAGCCGGCGAGACGTGGGTGTGGGTGGTGACGTGGTCACAGCCTGTGGCCACCACCAGCAGGTGTAAACACTGTGCTTTCACGTCCGGACGCTGTCGGTGGCTGCGTGTTCGTATTTAAGAAGATGGTTTGCGTGTTCACACGTGTATGTGAAAGTCACGTTTTCAAAAGAGAACGTTCTTTCACCTTTGACTCCAGGCACAGGTGGCCCTCGTGCCACTCCTTACGCATCCCGACGCCCTCTGCAGCCGTAACTGGGCTTTTCTTAGTTGACTTTTTGGAGATACCGCTAAAGCCAATTTAGGTCAGGGCCGAGCTGTTCTCTAGGCTTCCGACGAGGTCACTGCCCTGTTGTGCACTTCAGTCCCTAAACCACCAAGGCCGGAATGTGAGCGGAGAGACCTTGTTGTGGGAGTCCTGAACACGGGCACTGTTCTCCCAGCCGCTGGGGCGTCTCCGGGGCGCCCCCAGCCCCCGCACCAGCAACCCAGACCTTTCTGAGGGTTTCACGGGGCAGTTCCTGCCTGGAGGGCCAGCCACAGCGGCTACGCCTCCATGAGAGAAGGGGGTTGGAGAAGGGTCTCATGGCACCTGTGGCAAGAGCAGCAGTCAGTGCACGGGAGCCAGGCGTCCCGGTAGGTGGCTCTGGGCCTCCGGTGGGCGTCAGCGGGTCCCTCGGGGCAGCCCAGGCAGGATGAGGGGCTGCAGGGACATCAGGATGTCACACAGGACGTGACAGCACAGAGCTCTGGCCACGTACGTGATGGTGCTTTCCAGAAGAGCCCTGTAGTTTTGGGGGGGGGGGGGGCCTTTACTGTGTTTTGCAAAAGGCCCCGGGATTAGAAGAGCCTTTCCTTTGAGGACTGGGGTCAGTGGCCGTGGCTCGCACATGAGACGGCGCTGCTGAGCGTGTGAAAACCTGAACTCACTTACCCAGCGGGGCCGAGAGTCCAGTGCTGGATGGCTGCGTCGAGGGCTTGCCTGCGGACATCGTGGACATCCCCGTGCGGGAGTGAGACACTGACCGGCCCTCCCCCCCCATCCCTGGTAGTGAAGATCTCTGGAGCTGCCCTCAGCAGTGTGTATCGAGCATGTATTTGAACACGCGTGTGTACGTTTGAATCAGCCCGGAGGACCCTCACACGTTCCACACGTGTGAAGACATCGCGTGGAACGTGAACCCGCTCTGCTCTGGAGGCAGGGCTGAGGTGCCAAAGCCGAACGTGTCACTGGTTTGGATGTGCCAGATCACGTCCCTGACACCGGGGCTGCAGGTGGCTCCGAGCGGGCTCCTGCCTGTTCCGTGGTGATTCCTGAAAACCGCAAACAGAGCCTGTTTCGGCTTCTTGGCCGCACAGCAGACCTCACCCAGACTTAGAGGCTTCAAGAACAAGCCCTTCCTTTGCCGGCAGTCGTGTGGACTGGACTCAGCCCGTGGCCGCTCCCGTGGCCCCCGTGAGCTGGCAGGTCGGCTGTGTTCTGTCTGCACGGTCTCGGGCCCCACCTGGCGTCCTTAGCTGCTGCCACGCCCACACGTGGGGCCTCTGAGGTGTAAACGTGGAAGCCAGTTCATCGGGCCGCGGTGCGAGCACCCTTCAACGCTGGATCGCTCCCTCGAAACCTCTCCGTGGGGCGCTCAGACGCCCCCCCCCCCCCCAAGGCCCCAAGCCCCAGGTGGCTCTGCTGTTCTGTCCCATCAGCGGCTCCTCCTGGGCTGAGCCGCCGGCCAGTGGGTGCTCTGGGAGGCGGCACACGTCCCACACCTGCTCCCGGGTGGGGGATGGGCAGAGGGGCCCTTGATGGGTGCACCCGGTGGACTGGACGGTCCGTGGGGGCGGCAGCGGCCCCCACGCCCCTTCTGGGCCCGTCCGGCAGTGGGCAGGGAAGGCGCTCAGCGGGCGGTGAGCCTGAATCCCCGGGCCCCGCCCCCGGCTGCACCTGCACCGCCCCTTTGTGATCCTCACCAGCCTGCTTCTGAACACCCCTAATCCTGGTGCTGTTGTGAACAAAGTCCTTTCGGGGGTCCGGGTTCAAGGTGAAAACGCTCGTGGGAGGGAGGGGGCTGCGGGGTCACCACACCTCCCTCCCACGGTTGGAGATGTGCCCGTTTGCTCCAGAAGTAGGAAAATGACCACTTTGCCGTAAGAGGCTTCTTTGGGTGCATCCTGGGGGCTGAGTGTGGAGGGGGAAGTGTGGGCCCCTGGCCCGTTGGCTCCCTGAGCTGTCCGTCCTGGGCCTGTGTGTGTGTGTGCGTGTGGCACGGCTCACTCCTCACCTGTGCCTCCCGGACGCTCTCAGACCATCGGCACAGATGATTTCGTGTTCACGGGCGAGGCTTCAGGCCGTGGCCCAGAGCAGCGGAAATCTCACCTCCCAGCAGAGGGGGTGTGGGGGCCTTAGGTGATGTTTCTTTTTAAGTATGCACCCGGTCGCAGCACAGGCCTGGACTCCAGCGGCCGGTTTAGGAGTGGTGTGTGCAGGGTGCCTGTGTCAGGGCGTGTGTGAGCAGGTGTGTGTGTCAGCGTGTGTGAGTGAGCAAGTGTACGTTGGGTGTGTGTGTGTGAGGTGTGTGTGCCCGTGTGTGAGCCCATGTGTGTCAGAACGTGTGTGAGTGACCCTGTGTGTGTCAAGGTGTGTGTGTGTGTCCGCGTGTGTGAGCGAGCAGGTGTCTGTCAGGGTGTGTGTGAGCAGGTGTGTGTGTCAGTGTGAGTGAGCCCGTGTGTGTCAGGGCAGGTGTGTGAGCAGGTGTGTGTGTGTCAGCGTGTGTGAGTGAGCAGATGTGTGTCAGGGTATGTGAGTGAGCAAGTGTGCGTTAGGGTGTGTGTGTGAGGTGTGTGTGACAGTGTGTGTGAGCCCGTGTGTGTCAGAGCATGTGTCAGTGAGCAGGTGTGTGTTTCAGTGTGTGTGAGCCTGTGTGTGTCAGAATGTGAGTGAGCCCGTGTGTGTCAGGGCATGTGTGTGAGCAGGTGTGTGTGTGTCAGCGTGTGTGAGTGAGCAGGTGTGTGTCAGGGTGCGTGTGTGAGCAGGTGTGTGTGTCAGTGTGTGTGAGCCCGTGTGTGTCAGAATGTGTGTGAGTGAGCCCGTGTGTGTCAGGGCACGTGTGTGAGCAGGTGTGCGTGTGTCAGGGTGTGTGTGAGTTCACATATGTGGTCCGTGGGTGTGAGAGGGGGACGTGTATATGTGATGAGCCTCCTGTTGTCCCGGGGTGTGGCCGCCCCCCCGCCCCCCAAACCGCACAGCGTGGCGGTGACAGTGTCGGGAGCCCCGGGTGCCCACCGCTGGGCAGAGCCTGCAGGGTCGTGTTCCGCTCCCTCTGGTGGTGGCGGCCACGCCTCCTCCTCTGCCCTGCGCTGTGGCCATGGCTGCGGGGCTTCTGGTCCCACTAGCTTGGTGTGTTGGTTCTGAAGCGTTTCCAGAAATTTCCCAGGTACGGATGCCTCCAGCCGACGGTGCGGCTCGCATGCCCGCGGGTCATGACTTGGTGAGAAAGAAAAGGGTCTCCTGGCGTGGACGTGGGAGGGACGGGAGGATGGCCGTCCACACGGACAGGCACTGCCACCTTTCTCCCCTGGGTCAGCGTGCCGAGGGGATGATGTCAGGCAAGTGTTCTCGGGCAGCCTCTGAGGTGAGAGTCCCGCGGGCCTGGGGGCCCACGCGGGCACCGGCGTCCCTGCACTGCATCACCTGTGACCGTTCCCAGGGCTGGTGGTTCTGGAAGGCGCCTGTCTCCGCTGAGCAGAAGGAAAACGGCAGACCGGAGGGAGCGCCATGCCACGAAGGGTTTTTCCTTACGCTGCGGCCTTGGACTTGAACGCTGGCCCCACGGTTACACTGAGACGTTTTGAGTGGTCTCAGGAGGAGCCCAGCCGGAGAGGAAAGTCAGCTGGGAGCATGGCCGGTGCCACAGGGCAGCCGGTCCCAGACTCACCCTTCTCCTGGCTCAGCTTCCCTCTGCTGATGTCCTGGGAGGCGACCTGATGCCCGTGGGGAGACACAGCTGCAGCCCAGCCCGGCGGGCCTTCCGTTCCCCTGCAGGGTTGTCCTGTGGGGTCCCGCTATGGTCTCTGGGGTCCACACCCCAGGGATAGGGGCGGCCAGTGGAGGCTCGGTGTGACCTCTGTGCCTTCCCCAGTCCTTCCTGCGGCCTGGTGACCCCAGCACTGGAGGACCTGTCCGCAGGCCCCCACGGGGCTCCCCAAGCCAGACCAGAGGCCTTGCGTCCCTGTCGTGAGAAGGTTGTCACCGAAACTTCTTTTCTCTGGGCTGGTGACCAGTCTTTCCCTGAGGTCTGTGCCAAACCACGCCCAGCCCCCCACCTCCGATTCGGCACCTCGGGGACATCCAGGACGTGGGCACACGTCCCTCTGAAGCGGGGAGGGAGGCAAGTGGAGGCACCTGGGGGGGGGTGGCAGCTTCCCACCTCAGTCTTGGTGGGAAGGGGAAGGGCACGGGAGGGGGCAGGTGTCGAGAGTGCGAAGCTGGACGGAGGCCGCCTCGGAGCATGCCGCACGCAGCCCTTGCACGACTTCTGTCTTGCGTTCGCTTTGTTGAGATACAGCTCACAGAGCACACAGCTCAGCCACTTAAGGTTCAGTGGCTTTTGGTGTGTTCAGAGCCAGGCAGCCATCCTGCTAATTCCAGAAATTTCCCAAATAGACTTTACCTGTTAGCCGTTAACCCCGTTCTCCCCAGCCTGGCCGATTCAGAGCTGACTTCCGTCCCCGTGGCTCTGCGTGCCCCGGACGCCGCCCTGGAAGGACAGGGCCCTGCTGTGTGTAGCTCCTCGCGCCCACAAAGAGCGCGCATCAGGACTCTGTCCCCTTTAAGGCTGGGTGGCTTCCTGTCTTGTGGATGGATGGCGTGCTTAGCCTCCTGCAGCGGCCGGACTCTGGGGTCGTGCCCACCTCTTGGCTCGTGTGCTCCAGTGACCGCCTGTGCACGCGTGGGCCCCCTTCCTGGGGCACGCACCCAAGAATCCCACGTTCGGCCACGTGAGGAAAGCCCAGGCTGAGCCCCAGGCCGATGGGTGATTTCCTTCTCACTCTGGAGTCTTCTGCAGGAAGCAGGCTGGTCGGAGCAGCTCTGGGGGCACCCCAGGGTGTGAAGCCTGGAGGGGTTTGGGGGGCCTGGGGGGGGTGAAGACAAGCTGTGTGGGGACCCTCCCACTGATGGGAACAACCCCGGAGCCCCCCGTCCTGGCCGGCCCCGACTGCTCCGGGGTCAGGGTGCCGTCTCCCCCGTGGCGCCCACGGGAGTGCAGAGGGACCTCCTGTTTGCACCCCGCTCGCTGCCTTTCCTGCCAGCCGGCAGCCCGGGGACAGGGCGCTGCGGTGCTGGTCCGCGCCTGTCTGGGCTGAGCCCGCTCCCAGAGCCGGCAGCCAGGCGCGGAGGGGACCGTGTGCGCGGCCAAGGGCCCCAGGGAACGAGGTCCCACCACTCAGGCGCGGGGTCCTTCCGACGGGGGCTCCGCGCTGTTTCCGTTCTGGCCGTCGGCCAACGCTGTGACTCGGTCGAAAGCCAGTCACGCGTCTGCGCCTCCTCGTGCCGGGGACTCGAGTGTGCCTCCGGAAAGCAGCCGCTGCTCCCGCGGAGGCCGGGGACCTCCACGTGTGGCCCCGTCCTCCCCTAGCCGCCCCGGGAGGTGTGTGACTAAGAGCCGTGCTGTGGAAGCCTCGGGGCGGGTGTGGTGGGGAAGCCTTTCCGATGACTCACGCGGCAGGGAGTTCCCTAATGGTTTGGAACATTTTTCCTTCTGGGCTTGCGCACAGTTTCCCCGCTGAGGCCCGCGGAGCTCTTGATAAGGCCGCAGCTCCGAGGCCGTGCGGGGCCCGCCTACCCCGTGCAGGCTGAGGCTGTGCTCAGCCAAGGAGGACGCCCCGAGGCCGGACGGCAGGGCCCCACGCCCCCACCTCGGGGGGGGGGGGGGGGGACACCGGCGACGGGGTCCTGCTGGCACCCTGCCCCAGGGAACCTGTCCGTGACGATCAGCCACGCTGAGTGGCCGCGAAGCTGCCGTCCTGATACACAAGCGGACAGCCACTCGTTTAGGGCCCTTAGTGGAAACAGAGGGACCACGACGTGCTTGTCCCCATGGGCTGTGATTCAAACAGACACGAAGACTCGGGGAAAACAGGGCCAGAGCCCTGGGCCTTTGAGACCGCTGGTTCCCGCCCTGCGGGGTCTCCAGAAGCCCGGCTTTAACCAGCGTGTCCGGATGGGCCTATACTCTGTTAGCGCGTGACTCTCGGGATCGGTGTCTGGGAAAGCTGACACGCGGCGTGCACGGTGGACCGTGTGGCTCGCCGACCCCGGGCAGCCGCTCTGACGGGGGGACCCTGCCTCTAGGCCCAGGAGGGGCTGGAGGGGCCGGAGGAGGCCTCTGCTGGAGTGCTTTCTTGGCCGGCGGGCCCCACAGAGCCTTCCGTCAGTTTTCTTATTCAGATGAGCCTGGAAGGTGTTCACAGGGAGGCCGAGTCTGGTCTGACCCCTCCTGGAGGACGGATGGGGTGCTCGGCCCCCTTGTTGCCATGTCCCTGGCCCCTCATGGGCCTCGACCTCCCTCTTGCCCCCTGTGTGCTCTCTGTGCCTCGACAGGAGGCCTGGCCACACTCGAGAATTCCTCAGGGAAACTCGAGCCGTGGTTACCACCAACGGGCAGAGACTGGGCAGTGGCCAGGTTTGTCCCCGCTTATGACTCCCACAGCTGTGTCCCTCTGAAGTTGTTTTAAGAGGCACAGGAACATAGGAGCTGTGCTTACAGGAAGAGTAATTTTGATTACCTTAAGCAAGCAGCGGGTGGGGACCCTGCCCACGGGGCCAAGGCCCATCTGGCCTGCGCGGCCCGGACGAGCCTGCCCCGTCCCCGAGCTCGGCCCCTGGAGCCGCATCCCTGGCTCACACAGCTCGGGACCTTCCGCCAGCTCAGGGACCGGGGTTCACAGAGATGCTTCCGCACCCGCGCCCTGGGCTCACGGGGCTTCAGAAAGTTAGCTGCTTTGTGGGTCTTGATGCCTTTAAGAACAGCAGGGTGTATTTTTAGTTTCCTGTTATGTTTTTCTGGAGGAGACGTGGATGCTGCTCCCTTGGGCCGCTGGTCTGCATTTTATCACCGAGTGGGTTCATCTGGTGGGTAATTTGTGCTGGGACTTCAGGCGTCCCGAGAGGCTGGTGTGGTCCTGGCACACAGACGCTGCTCCGGGCTCTGTGTGACTCACATTTCCTCCCTCTGTCTCCACCCTCCACCCCTGCCCGCCCGCACTGTGAGGCAGAAAAAGGAGATTTTGTCTACTTTATTTATAATTTCTGAATTGTAACGCACGTACATCTCTTCTTTGAAACCAGAATGGGAGCGGGAACTGTGGCTGGCTGTAACTGTTTGGGGACAGACTTCACAGGAGATGGGGAGGCGGGAGGTCTCGGCAGGAGACGGACAGCTGTTAATTCCAAGTAACCACCCAGCCGGGCCCCGTCGCGCTGGCCAGCCATCGAGGGGCTTCCAGAGGCCAAGAGCTCGGTTTGCAGTCGTTCCTGCCAGTGGGCTTCTCGAAGCTCCCTCCCTCCAGGCCTGGCCCACGGGACACTGAGCCCTTTCAAGGCCCATCGGGAGCCTTTCTACCTTTTTTTTAAAACACGCAAACGGCCGTTGGGGCAAGGTTAGAAATACCACGCTCTGCGTTTCTGTGTCCCGACGTGGCGAGAAGCGGTCACAGAAAGGATTCTCTCGCTCAGCCAGCAGCTACTCTGAGCAGAGGCGGGATTGTGGCTCCCGGGCCCCGACTCGTTACTCAGAGTAACTCTGCTCCCAGAACGCACGCGGTAACCAGGTCTACGCTTCCCGCTGGTGCACCTGGAGCTGGAGCCGGCGGGTCTGAGAGCCAGGACACCGCCCGGGTCCAGGTCCGGAGACCACGCGCCGTTTACCGGGTCACCGGCACGTCTCCTGTGTTTACGAGCCCTCCCGTGGGTGCCTTGGGGCCGGGGCGGCGAGCCTGTGGACGCGGGCAGGGTGGGTTTCGGGACGCTCGCTGCCCGGGGCTCCCTCCCACGGAGCCCGGGGTCTTCGGGCTCCACAAGGCTCCTTGCCCCCGCGTGTGAGCCTAGCGCATCCTCTCCGGTGGCCACGCTCACACGACGTTTTGCTCTCGCGCATTAGCAGCCAGCACGGTGCGAGTGGACGGGGCTGTGGTCTCCGGGGTGGCCCACGCCTGGTCGAGGCAAGGGGATTGGGGTGGTGTGCTGGACCGGGCACGCGGGTAACAGCTTTCGTTCTGCCCTTCTCTTCCAGACGGTCACCACATCTGGGAGGCTGAGGCAAAGACGGACAGAGGCCTGTGCAAGCCGGTGAGTAGGGCTTCCTGCGACACGAGCCGCTGGAAACACCGGGGTCAGGGCGCAGCACGCGCCAACGGCGTGAAGGGCTTCCTGACACCAGTGCTCTTAGGACCCAGACCAGCCTGGGGCGGCACAGCGGGTGACCCGTAGGAGGGGACCCCGCACAGGGGAGCCTGGGACCCTCCTGCGCGGTAACTGCTCCCGGTCACGTGGCGGGCACCGTGGGCACAGGGCCTTCGCCACCCTCCTTGTCGTCGTCGCCAGGGGCCCGCACACAGCGCCGCCGCCGTCCGCCAGGAAGACCGGCTGTTCTGAGCCGCTGAGCGGGCGTTGCACCTGCCCAGGCTCGCCGGGACGCGCGAGGCTCCAGCAGCGTCCTTGGCACGATCTCGTCTCCCGCCACTCGGTAGACTCTTGTTCTGAACGTGAACTGGCTGGATGTGAAGGCGGGTCTCCGTGCTGCTGATTCCGTTTTGCCAGTTAGCTGGCGCACTTGCAGGCGCCGGAAGGTGGCGGGGCAGGTGCCCGGGCCTCGCTGGTGCCGCCGAGAGGATCCCGGGCCGCAGACGCCCGGCACACCCACACCCACCCACACCGCCTTTCTTGGCCTCCTTGGCTCTGTTCGCACGTGTCGGTGCCCACGTGGTTGTTTATGGGGGACGTTTTCTGTCTGGGATCACGCAGCGGGTCCAGCTTTCTTACGGCTCGTGTTAGCGCGGCCCGTCTTCTCCGTCCCCGAACCTTCGTCCATGCCTTTGTGTTTAAAGTGGTTTCTTACCGCAGGTAGCTGGGTCTTTCTTTCCGTCCACTCGGACAGCCTGCTAATTGGCGTTCTAGGGCGTGAGTGTTCCGAATGATTGCGGACGCAGTGGGATTAACGTCTGCCACGGAGTGTGTGTGTGTGCACGTGCGTGTGCGTGTGTGTTCTCTGTGATCCTAGAAGAGCAACAGTCTTCAGGCTGACGCAAAACACACTGTGGCCGCAGGTGACTGTCTGAAAAAATTCAGAGTTCTTCCAAGCTCAGTAGCTCTTCCCCTGGCCGTGGGCACAGGTGTGTGGGCACAGGTGCCACGGGCACAGGCGTGTGGCCCTTCTTCTGACAGTGGGGGGACGTGGGGCATCCACCTGTTCAGAAATCGTGTTCAGGACAGTAACTTGCTGCTGTCTTTGGGCTCCCGGGGGCCCTGGCTGTTGGAGCCGGGGGACGGGGAGCCTCGGGTGGAGGGGTTTGCCGAAGCCGTCAGGTAACCGATCTCTGCCCTGCTGCTGGTAGGGCCTGAGTCACTACTGGAGATGCCTGTCCGCCGCGGAGGTGGCTCTTTGATGGCGGCTTGGTTACCGCAGGCCCGGCCCTGGGTCCTCACGGGTGGCTCTATCGGGACGAAGCATCTTTTCTTGAGACTTAAGCCTCCTTTCCCAGAGCTCTGATCCGTTCACCAGAAGCCTGTCCAAGTGGTGTCACGTGGAAAAGATTCCTCCCTGGTCCCAGGGAAACTTGTGCCCAGGACCTGGCTCCCCTTCCGTGCTGTCTGGGCCCGGTCCCGCGCTCAGGACCGCACACGACACGCACACAACACGCACACGCACGCACACAACACGCACGCACACGCACACAACACGCACACGCACGCACACGCACGCACACAACACACACAACACGCACACGCACGCACACAACACACACGCGCACGCACACAACACGCACACAACACGCACGCGCACGCACACAACACGCACACAACACGCACACAACACGCACGCGCACGGGCTCCTTCTGGCCCCGGGGCATTTCTTGCTGCCTGAGGAGCCCTGAGCAAGTGCCGTGGGCTCCGGGCGGCCGGGCTTCCAGAAGGGGGTCCCCCGGTGCAGCAGGCCCAGCAGCTGAAGTCCACTCCAGACCACCACGGGCCTCGCGCGCACCTCCCCTGAGCAGGAAGAAGAGACCCGCAGAAATCCTGCAGCTTTCTCTATCGGGATCTTTCCTGCCAAGTTTGTGGGAGGTTTCGTGTCACTGGGCTTTCTTTTGCACTTTGAACGGTTGCATGTTTTAAAGGGAGCTGATGGGGCGCCTGGGTGGCGCCATCGGTTGGGCGTCCGACTTCAGCCAGGTCACGATCTCGCGGTCCATGATTTCGAGCCCCGCGTCAGGCTCTGGGCTGATGGCTCGGAGCCTGGAGCCTGTTTCTGATTCTGTGTCTCCCTCTCTCTCTGCCCCTCCCCCGTTCATGCTCTGTCTCTCTCCCAAAAATAAACAAAAAACGTTGAAAAAAAAAATTTAAAGGGAGCTGAGCAGTTAACAGCTGTGCGTTTCGAAAGTAAACGTAACAGTACGTGCGGATGATGACGTACTTTATCTCTTAACTGAGGTTTAATTTTACATATCATTTCTAATGACAAAAGGGCATTTATTCATTGCGGAAATTTGGAAAATACAAAAACTGAAAAAGAGGATAGAAGCACCTTGTGTAATTTTACCACTGCTGACTGTGGGCGTATGTCCTGCCAGGCTGTTCCTGGTGTGCGTGTGCGTGTATTCACACACGCGTGCCGTGGCTGTCATATTGAATGTGCCTTCTGCACGAAGCGGGATTATGCTGCACACGCAGTTGATACGCTAGCAGGAGCCCTCAGCGGGGTTTCTTGTTCCGTGGGGTTCTGCGTGCCACCTGTAATGCCTGGTGTTTCCGTGGTGACACGTGTCCTGTGGCTGCATATTCCCCCTTCACCGTGCTCCCGGGAGGACGGTGTCGTGCACGTCCTGTTCAGAGAGGTGAAGCGTATCAGCCTGTGCCCGCATCGGAACGCGACCCCCAGTCGCCTACAGCTTACAAAAACCAAACCCGCAAAGCCCAACTGCTGACGAGGGCCTCCCTGCCTGGCACGCCCGCCCCTGCCCCACGTGACCCGTCACGGAGACTCCCGCTGACGCCTCTTTGTAGTCGTCTCCTAAACCTCTTCCTTGCTTGTCTTCTCTTCCGTGGACGCTAGACTCCACCGTTTCCTCCACAGTGGCTCGCCCCCGGTGGGCGCCAGCTGTGTGCGGAGGCCGGGTGCGAACCCAGACCCGTGCTCCCGAGCCAGGCTCCCGACCACGGGCCGCACCGCCGCCCGAGCCACCTCCTGGCCAAGACGCGGCACTGACATCCCCTGTAACTGCAGCACGGCCACCCTGCGCAACACCCGTCCTCGGCACCATCGGCTGCACATGCGCAGGGTCACGTCTGCAAGGGGCCAGCCGCTCAGGCTACTTGTTGCTTCTTCCAAACGGGATGCAGTTATTGAGACGACAAAACCACGTAGCCTGGAGGGAGCGTGGTCCCAGGGGAGGGGCCCAGAGCAGCTCTCGGCAGCAGGCTTCTTTCCCTCGGTTTCTTTATCTGTAACAGGAACAGGTTGGGCCCAAAGTTCTGTTCAGTTTCCTGTTTTAATATTCATACGATTCCATTACTAACCTGATTCAATCAATTTTGCTATTAAGCTGGGTAACAAAACCTGATACGATGGATTTTTCTTACACGTTTTCTTTGCTTGTTAACTTAAATCATTTGACAAAAGCAATCGAAGAAACATTTTGGGTGTGAGATCCTGTCCCTCCCGTGAAATCAGGTACAGCGTGAGCCCCTGTGAGGACGTCGGCACTTTGGTGCACTGCACGCTGTCGGCTGGGGCTCAGGCCCCCTGACCGCCAGCCCGCGTCTCCCACAATGCCGTGCTGCCTCACGTGCCTTGTTTTATACCCGCACTTGAAGGAGCGTAATTTTTGTGAAAATGTCGTCGTCAGTTCGTATTTTGAGCCATGGGAAGGTACCAGTGCCCCCCACAGCCCCCATCCCGATCTGTGCTTTCTTTCTAACTGTCCACACGCCCCTCAACCTGCTAGGGTCGAGCTCACCTGTTTGAGGGAGTCTGGGAGGCCATGACGGGCTTCGAGCCTTCGTCAGAGAACCTGTCCCCAGACACGTGTCTCCAGGAAGCCGGTCTCCTGGGTCTTCAGTGTGTTGCCTGAACAGGGGCTCACAGCTCCATCCGTGGGCCAAACGTGGAACTTTTCTCTAGTTTCCAAAGGCCACTGACCCCTTGGGTTAGGGCAGGCAGATACATCCGGGTGTTCCAAAGACCGAGTAGCTCCTCTCTCAGATTAGCACCAGCGGCTTGTCTCTGGGGCTGAGTCGGTGGATCTTAGCTGAAGCCCCCGGCCTGCCTCCCCCCACACGCTCCGCATCCACGGGCTGCCCGGGTGTGGCTGGCAGGTTCGATCCGCCCAGACGTGCGCCCGCGCCCCAGGCAGACTCTCTGTGGGCAGCTTCTTCCAAGCAGCCCGCACGGTCGGGAGCTGCTCGCCGTGGCCCCCGCGCGGGCTGTTTACTGCAGGGTGCTTCGTGTTTGTGAGATGCTCACCGTCTCCCTCCTCTCTGCCGTTTGCTCGCCAGAATTCGTTGGTGGTCGAGATACCGCCTTTCCGCAATCCGAGAATAACGAGCCCCGTCCAAGTCAGTTTCTACGTCTGCAACGGGAAGAGGAAGAGGAGCCAGTATCAGCACTTGACCTACCTTCCTGCGAACGGTAACGCTGTCTTTCTAACCTTAAGCGCTGAGAATGAGCCCGCAGGGTGCTTTTCCTAAGAGACGCATAGATGCCAAGATGCTGTCGGGGTGAAGCGGTGTATGCGGAACCTGCGTTATTGTCCTGTTGACAGGAACACGTCCTTGAGTCCAAAAAAAAAAAAAAAAAAAGTGAAGCTTTCAGTGTATTTTCCTTTATTACTGCTGTGGGTGGGGGCTGCATATTGGGATAATGACGGGTCATTTTTGCTGGCCGCTCGCAAATAGAGAATGGCCCGAGGGGAGAAAAAGTGCCAGCCCTTTTGCGCCCAAAGGCTGAGGTGGTCTAGGTGTGTGTTTAAGTCCTGGAGATGTGTAAGGTGGAAAACCAAATAGTTATCATAATTTGGCAGGTGCCTTTAGAAGTAAACCCGTGGCATTGAGCCTAAAGGCTGGTGTCTGATGTGGTCATTGACTAACATTAACGATTTCTGTGCTCGGGCTGAAACCCCCACGTCACATCTTTGGTCGAATAATTGTACCTTCCTGTGACTGTGAGGCTTTCAGGCCCAAGTACTTGTCACTCAACCAAAAACCACCCTCATTGAGGTTGTGTGTTTACGCATTCTGAGGATACAGCCTTAGGACTTAGAAGACAGTTCGCCTTTTCAGCTTTCTAAGGTGTTTCCTTAAAGAAAATACCAGTGTTTGCTTTTGCCCCCCCGAATGTCGTCCTCAGAGCATCGCCTGATGCTCTGAGTGGTCCCAGCTGCGGTCATCCTGGATTTCATTGTGTTCTGTGTTAAGGTCATCAATGGCGGCAATCTTCTTGTATGGTAGCTTCTGTTCTAAAAGCTTAGGAGATTCGTGTGATTTAAGAGGGAAGTTATACCCTAAACACTATTGAAAAAGCAGCCATGTTGCTATCTTGGTGAAGTCAAGATTCTCTGAAGGTTTTCGTTTTCTCTGACTGTAACACATAATACCGAGTAGATGATAGAAAGCCCTAGAATATCCGTGTTGATATCAAACCGTTAGAATTAACCGCTTTGGGGGCAAACGTTAGCCGTGCCTTTCAGGATTTGAATGATACGATCTTGTTGCGAAATTATGTCATGAGACTGCACACAACATAGCACCGTGTGCCCGTGAGCCGCTCACGCCAGGCCGGTCTGGTCTGTTCTCTTGTCTGCGACCCCGTCCTGGGTTATGTGGTCTGCTTCATGCAACTCGGTGAATCCTATCTGTTCTTGGAATAAGGTGCAATGTATCCTACAGAAGAAAACATTTAGTCGTTTTGTGAAAATGTAATGATTGTATGCTAATTAAACTTCAGGCGTGGTTGACCAAAAGTTGAACGTTTCAAAGAAAACCAGGCCTTTTAAGAAAAATTGCTTTTTAAAGCGGTTTAGAAAATCTCTAACGTTAGTGTTTCCTGCAGTCCCTGCTCCAAGTTCACGGTGCCCCGAGCAGTGTCAGGGGTGGAGGGGCCCCCGCCTGTGACCTGCACATCTCTCCTACGGGGGGCACACTGAGCCCCCAGGGACATGTTACTAAGACAGTGGGGTGCAGAGGGCAGTGTGTGGGCCATCCTGTCTCCCTGCCCTGCAGCGGGAATCACGTCCTACAGCCTTATCCCACGGGGTCCTGACTGCGCTCCACCCCAGTGCCCCGGCGCCCCTCTCTCCACCTGCCCCAGAGACCTCGCCGCCCCCCTCCCCGCCCCCTCCATCCGCCAGGCGCCCCGCCGCCACGTGCCAGGCACCTCACACACGTACTCTGGACTCCGTTCCACTTGGACCTTCTCTCTGTAGCCGGTGCTCCGCCCCAGACATCGTCTGTCCCCTAGCGCAGGGGCCAGTGACTGTGGGCTGGACGTACCTGCCATTCTGCTAGCCTGTCTGCCTCTCTCAGGCCTCAGTGACCCTCCACGCTTCTCTCCTTGAAATTTGCTTCCAGCCCCTCGGAGCCTGAGGCATCCTCGCTGCCGGCCCCTGGGAGCACCCGGCCCTGCCCCGGCTTCCTGGGGCGGCCGGCGTCTGCTGCCCTGTGGGGTTGGGACGGGGCCACGCGCGCCGCTAGGCTGTAAGCTCCCTGGAGCAGGACCCTCGGCCGGGATCTGACCTCGTGGCTGAATCGCGGGGTCTACCCTCACGTGGCTTTAAGAATAAATAAGTGAACGAATGAAAAACTAGAACCTGTGTGTCTGGTTTTCGGTTTGGTATTTCTCCTGCTGTGCACTCCCCAGGCTCGCCCGGCCGTGAGCAGGACGCACAGACCCGCACTCGGCACCTAGACAGCGCCCCCCACCCTGTCCCCCTGGGCTGAGTCTCCCACCTCACCGACCGCGACTGTCGACTCTGAGCCCAAAGATGCGTGCTGTGCTGTGTCGACGAAAGCTTGGTAGCGGACGGGGCGTGCCGCACGGACTAGAAGACATCGGCCTGTTTGGGGCGGGCTCCCGTCTGAGGGCAAGCACAGCGGGGCCCCGGCTTCTGTGTATTCCGACGGCAGGTTCTTTCCAAGGTTATTAAATGTGCTGTTGAAACGGGCAAGGCTTTGGAAGTAAGTCCTCTTAAACTCTACCCGAAAAACTTATTTTCACGTTCAAATGTGTAAAATCAAGTGCCACTCTAGGGTTTCCGTCAAAATTAGCCGTGGGTACAGGTGATGGTGTGGCCTCAGTCGTCCTCATGGTGGGCTCTCAGACATGTGACCCCAAGGGACAGTGCCCCCGGGAGGCCACCCTCATGCAGAGAGGTGGGGACGCTCACTGCCCCCGTGTGGCCCCTGGCGGTGCAGGTGACGGAAGTGAGGGGGTCAGAGCATTTGTTGCTCGGGGACGCGTACTCTGGTCACCTTCCCCGCTGCTGGGCTCGGCTCGCCGGTGACCTGACAGCTGGACGGCAAGCGAGTTGACCGCGGCTCCCTGGGATGACGCCCTCCTCTCTTTCCATCTGCACCACACGCGTCTGCGGGGCCTCCGGTCTCAGGGTCGTTCCCAGCGGTCGGCCTGGAAGAGGCCATGAGGCAACACACGCAGGGCCTGCCGGGCTGCGATGGAGCGCGGGCCCCTCTCTGGGTGTTGGCCGTGGGTGTGACGGGGGGTGGGGGATGGAGTGCGCACCTGCCGCTCGTGCCCCGGGGCAGCACCTGAAGGCAGCTATGAGAACATCCGGTGCGATCCTGGAAGACGCCGCAGAGGACACGGAGCCAGAGAGGTTTTCTCGTTCCTCGTGTGTCACCGTTCCTGTTAACCATGCCTCCCGCAGCCCCTGCAAGGAGCGCGTCAGGCCCCTGGCTGGGCTGTGCGGGCCGTCAGTGCCCTGGTGCCCGCCTCGGGGCGGACTCTGCCGGGAGCCGGGGCACCTCTCACCGTTGGGCCAGCTCGTGTTAGGTGTGGAGAAGGACTTGACCCGCGGGCCGCGGCTCCTGAGATCGAGGGGAAGAAGAGTGTCCACGTCAGCGGTGACTCTGTGGGCTCATGTGCCCGACGGCTGCCCCAGTGCCTGGGACAGGCAGGGAGGGGGCAGGAGCTCAGGCAATAAGCATTTCTGCTTATGGTCTCAAACTTACGTACCAAGGTCAGTCTGTCTTTAAGATGAGAAAATAAATGGTGACAAACTATCGAGTCTCGGAGAGTGCGTCTTTGTGTCTGAGATGTTTGTAGTCGGTTTCCCAGAAGGTGCCTATGATGGCTCCTGGCCCCTGCTCACGGTCGCTTGTGACTGAGCAGGTAGGGGTCCTGGAGTTCCCCCAGGATCAGTGGGGATGGCTTTGGGGACACACCATTGTTGGAGGTCCCAGGCGGCTAGAGCTCCCTGCCCTGGGCCCTGCCTGTCCACCACCGACAGACAGTAGAAGGTCACGGCCGGGGACCACTTGGCACGGGGCAGCTCCTCTAACAGAGCCCTCTTGGGACCGGGGTAGGGGGAGCTCGGAGCCAGGTGGCGGGGCCGGGGCTCTGTGGGCCCGACGTCAGCAGCTGGAGGAGGAACCACGGGAGGAGCGGGGCTCACCGCTCGCCACGGACCTCGCGGTTACGGTAGTTGGTAACCCCCACGAGATAGGGAGCAGAGAAGGACGCTACGCCTCCGCCCTGGCAGGCGCAGACAGGAGTGGATTCTCTGTGTTCCGTTTGCATCGTGTGGTCCGGAAATGAGAGTCCCCAGAGCCGAGGCTGCCGACGGGAGGAGCCGGCCGCGAGCTGCCTGCGGGCCCGAGGGCCAGAGCGGGTCTCCCTCCTGTGGCCACCTGCAGACCCAGCTCTCCAGGGGCGGCCCCGTCTGTAGATGGAACCACGGACAGCGGCTTCCAGTCCCGTCAGCCCAGTGGCCTTGTCTTCACAGCAAGCTCTGGGTCTGCCTTTTCCACTGAGCTTTGGGCCTTGTTGCTTTTCTGAGTCCTTCGCGTTCAAGTTTGGTCCCAAAGTAATTGCCTCCACGAAATCCTAAAGATGCTTAGTAGTGACTCAGCTGGGAGAAGCTTCACAGCCCCTCAGGCCCCCGGGCCCTTGTCTCAGCCCCCAGGGCTGGGCGGGAGGGCACCCTCTGACAGACTCCTCTGGGCCAGGCCTCACCGGGGCACCCACTCCCCACGTCCCCTCGTCCTGTGGGTAACAAGGAGGTGGGCTTGGTCCATGCGGAGCTCGCGGAGGCCGAGTTTCCTAGGGCACTGTGCCCCCCACTTCTTCTGAAGAGGGCTGCGAGGCATAAGCACGTGGTCCTCGACCCCTAGGCCCTGCCGGGCGAGTGTCCCCACCCCACCGGATAGGAGCTGGGGCGTAGCCCGGCAGGGCAGCCTGCCACCGTCCACAGCGGGGTCCGCCGGGCTGAGACCTCACCCGAGCCCCGTGTGCGTGCGGCCGGAGCTTTGCCTCTCACGGAAGACCTTCGGGGCTCAAACAGAGAAGACTGCCACGTTTCTGACCCACGGGTATGGAGGGTCAGGTTGGCCCAGGTGGCAGAGGGGGTGTCCGTTCTGGGGACTCCTGCCTACCCTGGACTCCCTTCTCAAGGCAAA